GGCTTTAAATTATCTATGGAATGTGGTTAGAGAACCAGGGAATTTTTAGCCTTAAAAAATCTCCTTTCTTGTGGCTGTTGGTAGCCAAAAATCAATCACAGAGTCTGGTCCTATGGCTTATTAAATTACAACATAGATTGAATTCAAAGACTGGCCAGGTTTCTTATGTGAAAATGCACTGCTTGGGAGAGTCAGATTCTGAGATTTGGAGAGGTGATCCTTGGGTGGATTTGGAAAATTTTGCTTACCCCCAAACTATACCCATTCACCTCATGAGAAGTAGTCTCTTATACCCAGTATTCTAGTCTTTCCTTGCTTTAAAAACCTGTAGTGAGCTTTGCTGATATAGTCACCTTACCAGGGAATGCTAATTTGCTTCATGTTCCATCCTACTTACATTTCTTTCAGACCCATAAGTAAAATCTGATCCCAGACACCACAGGAAACCAATTACAAAGCCACATGAGAAAGGAAAATACTTTTCACTTCAAAAGACTGCAAAATTTTACTAAAAGAAGTAAAGAACTGAAAGAGGGGAGAATTCTGCAATACTGTCAATAATAAGAAATACACATATTTTTTGAAAAGTAAATTATAGAATATTCTAGGTATCCAGAATAGGAGAGAAAATTTTATGAGCTCATGTATGAAGAACCCATATGCTATAACTAACCTTTTTGCAACTTCTACCTATAGTTGTACCAACTTCATTTACAAAGGAATATTTACTGGGATTGCCAGAAGGGAAAGGAATGCTGGGTAGCAGAAAACAACTGTCATGTCACTAGGATAAGCCATTGTCCCAAGTAGCCTCTGTACCGTCAAAATGCCTGAAAAATCTACCACAAGCAAATCATTACTGTTGTTTATACTTTTAAAAATGGAGAAGACTTTCTGCTTAAGGTATTATCCTCATTGTAAAGATGAGAGGTTAAGTAACCTGTCTAGAGTGGTAGAAATGGGACTTGATACAGAGCTGTTTGACCTCAAAGTTCCTACTCTTAAAAGAAAAAAGAGTAAGTAAATGATGCAAATGCTATAAAATAAATTTCTCTTTTATAAATGTCCCTCAGATACCAGTTTACCTGGGTGTCTGTTACCAATTTCTTGTGTATCATATATATATATATATATATATATATATATATATATATATATATATATATATGTATATGTACACACACACACACACACACACACACAAGTAGGCATAAATAATTTTAAAAAGATAGTATTGAAAAAAGATAGTATTGAGACATTATTTTATGTTTTTTAAATATATTCATTTTACCTGTCTGGCAACCATTAGATATTAGTACAAGTGGAGTGCCCTTATTGGTTTTGCTAATATCTACACAGTGTTGTCTCTCTAGAGTTTTATTTGTGTAACTAGCCTTACTTATATATCCTTAAATTCTTTCCAATCTATTGCTATTATGAAAACTGCAATGAATATTCTTTTATATATAGCTTTAGCTAATATTCAAGAGTATATGCAGGATATATTCCTAGAAATGGAATTTTTTAATAAAAGGGTATTAGTGTTTTTGCTTATCACTGTCAAATTGCCTTCTGAGGGGAGTATTTCAGTTTGCACTCCCATCAGCTATCTATGAAAGCACCTGAAATATTTCCATACTCTTTCCACTGAAACCTGATGAATGGAAATGGTTATTTTCATGTAGTTTTAATTTGCATTTTTTTTTATTTTGGGTGATTTTGTGGTCGCTCATTTGAAGAGAACAGGTGGACGGACTAGTCAGATTGCAAGATCTTACCATTCCCACCAGCTAAGCAGCCTTGGGCCAGCTCCTGCTGGGAGACCAGGTCCACAACAAGGGAGAGCCATAGCAGAGAGCCTGCCCTTGCATCTGCTTAGACACACTAGTGCTCTGACCTGCACAGAGCTCTCTACATGGACTCCTTCAGACACATGGAGCAGGCTGTGGTCTCGCTGCTACACCCTGATGGAGAGGGTAGGAGCCAGGGGCAGGGTCTAGTGGTCTGAGACCGCTTGGAGCCCCCAGAATTCTCTCTTCTGTCCATTCATCTTCTGGGTATTTTCCCCAAGACTCAGCTGGTCTTGAGTGCTCCTGCCAACGAATGGCTCAGGCAGCCAGCGACCACGTGAAAAAACGTCACTGTTTTTGTTTGTTTGTTTTCTAAAATATATTTTTATTGATATCAGAGAGGGAGAGAGAGAGAGAGAGAGAGAGAGAGAGAGAGAGAGAGAGAGAGAGAGACATCAATGATGAGAGAATCATTGATTGGCTGCTTCCTGCGCGCCCCCTACTGGGGATCAAGCCCACCGCCAGGACATGTGCCCTTGACCAGAATGGTACCCCAGGACCCTTTAGTCTGCAGGCTGATGTTCTATCCACTGAGACAAAACAGTAGGGCTTGCCTATTGTTTTGACACTGGTGGCTCTCAGATGGCAACTGTTCAAAAGGATTGTATGCACTTCTGAGATTTTAGGTGCCTAACCTTTTAAAATAAGCCCTGGACTTAAAGCGCGTTATGTCACCTAGTTTGAACTTGATAAAGTACATGAAAGCAATTTTAAAAATTGCGTGGTCCTCTGAGTGTAAATACATGGACATATTTTTGAAAGCATCTACTTCAGATTCCTGAAATTTATATTTTATCACAGATAACTAAATATTGTTGTTTCAAAAACTTGATTATTGGATCATTAAGATTTTTATCTAGATTTAAATAAGTAGACAAAATGCTTTACTATTGATTAGTAACAAGATCTCTTAGAAAATGTATGTAGTATTATGTAGTATTGTGTACTCAGCCTAATAATCCAAGTATATTTTTTATAGTAAAAATTCATGGTATTTTCTGGATTCTTATCAAGTGCAATAAAAAGTTAATTTGTTTTGCAACCACTTTCTGCCCCAAAATGAAAATTAGAAAATTAGGAAAGTTGTTATTAACAGGAAATGACATTTGTGTTCCAATTTGGTAAAATAATTTATGCAATTAAGGAAAAGTGAGTCATAGTGGAGACTGCAAGGTTTAGGAGTCAGACACAGCTGGGGCCAGTTTTGCTTCTACCACTAATTGCTCTGTGTTTAGAGATAGTTACTTAACATCTCTGAGCCCTCTGGGTCGTTTCTTCTATAAAATGGGGATAATAAAAACTATCTTGGCCCAGGCCAGTGTTTCTCAGCGGTTACTAGCAGTGGTTCTCAACCTTCTGGCCTTTTAAATACAGTTCCTCATGTTGTGACCCAACCATAAAATTATTTTTGTTGCTACTTGTAATTTTGCTACTGTTATGAATCATAATGTAAATATCTGATATGCAGGATGGTCTTAGGCGACCCCTGTGAAAGGGTCGTTCCACCGCCAAAGGGGTCTCGACCCACAGGTTGAGAACCGCTGGGTTAGCGCATCTGCCTACTCACCAAAGGGTCACAGGTTCGATTCCAGGCCCAGTCGGGGAGCATGCAGGAGATAACCAATCTATGTGTCTCTCTCACATCTATGTTTCTCACTCTCCCTCTCTCTCACTCTTCCTCCCTTCTCCCCCTCCCTTTCTTCCACTCTCTAAAAATCAATGGAAATAATATCTTCGGGTGAGATTAACAGAAACAACAACAAAAATTATCTGGGAAGATAGTGGAAAGAGTCAAGGCACATAGAAATCACTCAACAATGGTACTGTTTATTATTCTGAATGACATGGAAAATGAATTCTGAGCTAAGAGCAAAATGTAGTTCCTTTTAATGGGAAACAATTAGGTTCCTGAACTAAAGCTGATTACAGTTACTGTAATGTAAATTAAACCATAATCTCTTTGAATTATAGAAATTGCTTTATATCTAGTAGGATAGAAACAGTTTGGAATTTGTAGGTGGCTTTATAGTAGAAAATCAATGCCTCGTGGGTGGAAATACTACTCCCAAAGTTAGAAACATTGTGTGTCCCTGAACAAGCCTCTCAGCCACACTCCGCCACAGTGTTATTATTTCTAAAATACTGGGCATGGGGAGCCATTTTGGGGCTAACATTAAAAGACATAATGGTTTCATTTTGGAAAAATCGACTCATCAATATATTTTTCTTCATGGCTATAAAAGTATTTAAAATGAACAAAATAAAGTAGTAAAAACTCTTGCTATTTATTTTTTTCTTGGATGATGAAGTGCTCATTCAAGTCCTCTTGGAAAAGATTATTTCGTGCTCTGGTCAAGGTGGCCTGTTTTCTTTTTGTGTTGAAGGGCTTTGAAATTAGAAGTGATTTGTATTTTCCCAGGGAGTGTCCACTTTGGAAAGAAAGAAAATTATATGCCTGAAGAATATGGTTGGCCGATTTATTGTTGTTTATGTCTGTGCTAGGCCTGAAAGGAAATACATAGAATTCAAGTTTTTTTCTTCTTCTGGGAAATATAGTGACCCATTTTGTTTGATGATAGAATAATATTCTTTCTCCTGTTCTAGTGTGTTGAAAAATGAATTCTTTGAGCATGAATTCTTTGATCTTGAATTCTTGGAGCTCACAATTTGAACCAAACCACATATTTATGTAAGAAATGGAGGAAAGAGAACAAATCAAAAATCCTTCCTTACAAGAAGGTTTCAATAAATATATGAGTCTCTCCTCTTCTGAACAATTGCTTAAGCACATTTGATTCCTCTCAAGTGTTCATTTTGGGAAATTGTCCACATAAATAACTTCTCTCTGAAACTATTTCATATTCATGTGGACTTGTTCCTGTGTCCTGTATGGAAAAACCAGCATCTCCGCCACTTGGGATAGTATACAGTACAAGACTGTGATTAAGAATGTGTAACCGCAGTTATCCTTGGATCAAAGGGAATTTGCAATGGACACATAAATCGATTTGTACAGTGTAGATAGTAGAGTCAAAGAGTAATCTTTAAAACCTAATGTTGGCACAAATATTTCATTCACTTGTGCTAGATGCCCTCTCCTGGTCACCGTGAGTACTGTTCAGGAACTCATTCTAGCTGTATTAGGGAACTTAATACGTGCAACTCCATGCTCTGCTTCCTCTGTGAGGAAAGAAACCTGAAGACAAGTGACTTTTAACTTTACAAGAGTTGGCCTCTTATTTTCCTCCCTCTCCGAGTGTCAAGCAGTGTTTGATTAGTCTTGTATAGTGGGATAATACTTTGTTAACTGCTGTTCTCTTTTTCTTGTGATTTCACCATCCATCCATGGAGATCCTACATATGGCCTGTTGGTACATGACAGGAGTGATGTGTAGAAGGGAAGCCAGCCAAGGCCCTGAGCAGATCAGTACGTGCACATCTCCTAACTCTCCCACACTGGCTCACACCCCCACAGCCCCAGGAGCATTAGCCTGGGGAAAGCAGGGAACCCCAGTGTGATTGAGTGTTAAACCTAAGTAGCTGTGAAATCACTGAATTTTATTCATTTTACCTTAAGTTTTTGGCACTGGGTAGAATGGGGGCCTCAGAACCAGAAGTTACATACATCAATTTTTTTTATTGATATATGATATCTTCATAAGCCTGTTTAAAAACTGATTGAATTAAGAACTCCCATGCCTCATGGTTTCAATAGTAAAACAATTGTTAATCATGGAGCTTAGAGTATCAGAGTTGAGAGAGACTGCAGATGTCCCTTAGTCCAGTTTCTAGTCTAGAATATACTTGAACTTTCTATCTTTTCTGAGAGGATGAGGTAAGTGTGTTTCCCCAGAAAAAGAACAGGCTTTCTTACAATTTGTTTAAAAAACATTGAGTTTCCCCAAGCTCAATATTCCTTAGCTGTGATGCAACCCACAGTATGTGCCGAGTCCATCTGAATATGCAGGTGGGACTTGGGGACAGGGAGAACCAATGTAAGTATGCTGCTGCTCATGTGCGTGCTGAGCCCTGGGCAGCAGGGTCCTGTGTTGCTGATTCAGGAGTCTCCTGTCTGCAGCCAGCGCTCAGGAAAGAACTGGTTTATTAGTGTGTAAGGAGGGTAAAATCAAATCCCAGAACTGAGAGTAGTTTCCCCATCAAATTGTAAATATTTTTTCATTGTACTATTCTACAATTAATATTTTAACTTCTTTGGGTTAATTAATGTTTCTTATTGAACTATCCTGCTTTGATGATAAGCTACTTATAAAAATGAATCAATAGAAAAATACTCAATATGAAAATATGTTAATCTTACAAATTATGTATTTCTTGTCAGAAAGCAAAATTTTAATAAGGCACTCTGTATACTGTGCTCTTCCAAACAGGAAAATAGCTAAAATTCAGCATAGATTTTATAACTGTTTGTTTCCTGAACTAAGATTTTGAATATGTATCTATTCGTTTACCACATTAGTGTGTACCATACTGTTCCTGGATAGAGGAGGTGCGCAATTAGTACTTGTTGAATGAATAAATGAACAGAGATACTCTAAATTTTGTTAACTCTGTGATGTGGATGCCAAGATAATGTCTCCATAAAAATGACTACCATGAGTAAATTGCACACAAAAAATGACTGGAATGATTATGGGAAAGTATTCATTATTTTAAGATTGGTTTTATTTTAATGCTATACATGCTGTCCTAATGATCTTTCCTATTAAAAAATGAAATAGAATCATAAGTATAACATGCCCAAAGTAATAAACAGAAAATGGAAGAGAAAAAAGTTTTTTATTATGGACAACTTCAAATATAAATGACAGTAGAGAGAATCCTATCTAATAATAGACAAACATGGTAATTAACTGTACCTCCGACACGCTTCCCATTGGCTAATCAGGGCGATATGCAAATTAACTGCCAACCAAGATGGCGGCCGGCAGCCAGGCAGCTGAAGCGAACAGGAGGCTTGCTTGCTCCAGTGATGGAGGAAGCCAAGGTTCCCCGCCTGCCGCTGCCGGCCTCTGAGCTGCAGTCTAAGAAACAATGTTGCAATTATAGAAGCTAAACAAACCCCAGAAACCTGCTTTCAGCCAGCCGGGCCTCAGAGCTGGAGTTGCAACAGTGTTTCAATTATAGAAGCCAAACAAACCGAGGTCTCAGAGCTGGAGCTGAGCCTCAGAGCTAAAGCCGGCTCTCAGCTCCAGTGACACCCATAGAAGGTAAATAAATTTCAGGATAAAAAAAAAAAAAAGAAAAAAAGGAGAGGTTGGGAGCTTCAGTCACCCGCCAGCCTGAAAACAGCCCTCAGCCCCTCACCCAGACTGGCCAGGCACCCCAGTGGGGACCCCCACCCTGAAGGGTGTGTGACCAGCTGCAAACAGCCATCATCCCCTCATCCAGGCTGGCCAGGCACCCAAGCGGGACCCTCACCTTGATCCGGGACACCCTTCAGGGCAAACCAGCCGGCCCCCACCTGTGCACCAGGCCTCTATCCTATATAATAAAAGGGTAATATGCAAACTGACCCTAACAGCAGAAGGACTGGGAATGACTGGTCACTATGACACACACTGACCACCAGGGGGCAGACGCTCAATGCAGGAGCTGCCCTCTGGTGGTCAGGGCGCTCTCACATGGGGGAGCTCTGCTCAGCCACAAGCCAGGCTGAAGGCTGCCAGTACAGCGGTGGTGGTGGGAGCCTCTCCTGCTTCCTCAGCAGCGCTAAGGATGTCCTACTGCAGTTTAGGCCTGCTCCCCGCTGGCAAGTGGACATCTCCCAAGGGCTGCCGGGCTGCCAGAGGGATGTCTGATTGCCATCTTAGGCCCAATCCCCCAGGGAGCGGGCCTAAGCCAGCAGGTGGTCATCCCCTGAGGGGTCCCAGACTGCTAGAGGGCACAGGCCGGGCTGAGGGACCCCCCTTCCCCCCCCCCCCCCGAGTGCACAAATTTTTGTGCACCGGGCCTCTAGTAATATAATAAGCCATCAGGTACCCACCATCCAGACTTGGCCAATCTCATTTCATCTATAGCCCCTGTTCCTCCACTCCTCTGCTAAATTCTTTTTAAACAAATTCATGAGGCATTTCTATTTATATATAAATACTTGAGAACAAGCACATTTTTAATAAAAAAATAAAAACTTCTAGGAAGAATAGATGATTGTCATGAACTTAATATTTCTAGTCAAAGTAAAACATGGCCAGTGCTATTTCTCCCTTAAAGTACTTTTAGACCTTTGGCAGGGTCAGCTCTCACCTCCACTGAAGCAGACACATATTTTAAAGCTCTTCTCACCTTATTTTTTTTCCTTTGCTTTTAATTTGTGTCGTTGAGTCTAGAATGTATTGCTGATTTAACTAGATCCAGGCTAATAATGGAAACAAAAATCATTTTATCTTTATATAAAGCTTTCCATTAGAAGTAAGAATATTTTCCAGTTACCACCACTTTCAGAGTAAAATTGTTAATTCTTCACTTGTATGATGGGAAGTCTAAAAATAATTATTTATCTCTATTAAAATAGTTATATTTTAAATAACTCCTGATGTTAAAATTTGGGAATGAAAACAATTTTTTTTTTTTTGAGAGAGAGACACACACATACACATTGATTTGTTGTTCCACTACTTATGCATTCATTGGTTGCTTCTTGTGTGTGACCTGGCTGGGGAATCAAACACACAACCTTGGCATATTGGGATGATGCTCTAACCCAGTGGTCCTCAACCTTCTGGCCCTTTAAATACAGTTCCTCATGTTGTGACCCAACCATAAAATTATTTTCATTGCTACTTAATAACTGTAATGTTGCTACTGTTATGAATCATAATGTAAATATCTGATATGCAGGATGGTCTTAGGCGACCCCTGTGAAAGGGTTGTTCGACCACCAAAGGGGTCGCGACCCACAGGTTGAGAACCGCTGCTCTAACCAACTGAGCTTCCTAGGGGGCCTAAATGGAAACAATTTTGAGAGTTAGGTTAGTATATGTACATATTTGTGTGTTTGCATATACACATAGTGGAATGTCTTCGAATTGTGAGACAGTCCTGCAGTTCCTTGACTTATATTCAGTCAGCACGCACAGGTTTAGCTGTCCTTTCTAGAATAATAAGATACTGGTTGGTAAATAGCTGCTGTTCTAAGCCTCTTGACTGTGTTCTAGCTGTTTAGGCTGCCTGCATTGTTCCACGATCCAGCATCTAAATGGTTAAAATTTAGCACAGCAGAGAGCCTGGATGACCAGTTCTATCATTAGGCAGCCCCTCCTCCCAATGTGAATGGATAAAAAAGCTCTGGTACATTTACACAATGGATACGACTCAGCTGTAAAAAGGAAGGAAATCTTCCCTTTGCAACAGCATGGATGGACCTGGAGAGCATTATACTGTGATATAAGCCAATCAGAGAAAGACAAGTAAGTGCCCCCATCTTACTAATTGTTAAATATTTTGAGCCCTAGCCAGTTTTGCTCAGTGGATAGAGCGTCAGCCTGCAGACTGAAAGGCCCCAGGTTTGATTCCGATCAAGGGCACTACCGGTTGCAGGCTTGATCCCTGGCCCTGGTCAGAGTGCATGTGGGAGGCAACCAATTGATTTGTCTCTCTCATATCAATGTTTCTCTCTGTCTCTTTCCCTCCTTTCTGCTTTCTCAAAAAAAAAAAAAAATCAATGGAAAAATATCCTCAAGTGAGGATTAACAACAACAACAACAAAAATTTGCAAAACTGCTTAGGTTTAGAAGATGGTATGGGTTTGAACCAGGAAGTAGATAAAAGTTGGAACGAGTGGAAGGAAAATAAGGGATAGTCCTAGGAAAGCAGGCTGGAGATTACTAGAAAACCTGGCTGAGAGCTCCCTATGGGCATAAAACAGAAAAAACTTACTCAAAGTGAGAAGACTGGGTGGGAAATCTATACTAATAAAAGCGTATGTGGTCATCACACCCTCACGCCGTGATGACCTCATGCCCTCACTCCGTAACAATCCATCACCAGGAGGCTGCATGTGCATGCGGGTGGGAGGGGACTTGACGTGGGACTCCCGGCGGTTCTGCATAGCGACACTGGGGGCAGGACCCCCGGCTCTGGGCTCTGGCCTACCTCTTTGGGGCAATCCATTGAGGAGCCCTGGATGGGTGGGTGGGGCCTACTACTTTGGGGAGATCAATAGCAGGGCTCCCGAACTGTGAGAGGGCACAGACCCGGCTGGGGAACCACCTCCCTTCCCCCTACTCCGAGTGCATGGATTTTGTGCACCGGACCTCTAGTCAATTATAAAGACAACTAGAGGCCGAGTGCACAAAAATTTGTGCACTCAGGGGGGTCCCTCAGCCCAGCCTGTGCCCTCTCGCAGTCTGGGACCCCTCAGGGGATGACCACCTGCTGGCTTAGGCCTGCTCCCTGGGGGATTGGGCCTAAGATGGCAATCAGACATCTCTCTGGCAGCCCGGGAGCCCTCAGGGGATGTCCACTTGCCAGCAGGGAGCAGGCCTAAGCTGCAGTCTGACATCCTTAGCACTGCTGAGGAGGCGGGAGAGGCTCCCACCACCACCGCTGTACTGGCAGCCATCAGCCTGGCTTGTGGCTGAGCAGAGCTCCTCCCATGTGAGAGCGCACTGACCACCAGGGGGCAGCTCCTGCATTGAGCGTCTGCCCCCTGGTGGTCAGTATGTGTCATAGTGACCAGTCATTCCCAGTCCTTCTGCTGTTAGGGTCAGTTTGCATATTACCCTTTTACTATATAGGATAGAGGCCTGATGCACGGGTGGGGGCCGGCTGGTTTGCCCTGAAGGGTGTCCCGGATCAGGGTGGGGGTCCCGCTGGGGTGCCTGGCCAGTCTGGATGAGGGGCTGAGGGCCATTTTCAGGCTGGCCAAGCCCCCCAGCAACGGAAGCTCCCAGCCTCTCCTTTTTTTCTTTTTTTCTTTTTATTCTAGGATTTATTTACCTTCTATAATTTAAACTTTGTAGCCTTGAGAGGAGCTCAGAGCTGGCCAGGGCGGGTGGGAGGGAAGCCTGGCTTCCTCCATCGCCAGGGGCAACCCAAGCCTCCTGCTTGCTCCAGCTCTGTGGCCACGGCATGCTGAAAGCAGGTATCTGGGGTTTATTTATCTTCTATAATTGAAACTTTGTTGCTTTGAGTGGAGCTCAGAGCTGGCCGCGGCAGGCAGGAAGCTTGGCTTCCTCCATCATTGTGGCAACCAAGCCTCCTGCTTGCTCCAGCTCCGTGGCTGCTGGCTGCCATCTTGGTTGGGTTAATTTGCATATAGTCACTCTGATTGGCTGGTGGGCATGGCTTAAGGCTTAGCGAAGGTATGGTCAATTTGCATGTTTGTCTTTTATTAGTGTAGATAATAAAAAAATTGAAAAAGATTACGTACAGTGCCTGTACTGAACACTGCAAAGAAAGTACATGAGAACTGAGTTGACTTTGTTGATAAAGGATGCTGATGGTGGGCACTGTAAAAGCATTGCTATGTGCTGCAGTATGCGTGTCCTGGGAATATTTTTGTAAGAAACTCTATTGTTATGACAATTTGCCAAACTAACCAATATTTTCCATTCCTCTCTGTAAAGCACAGTGATTGGTTCCCACAGCTTGGTGCATGTTCATGGTCATCAGGTTGTTTGTTCTCCAGCCTGCTGAGCTGCTGCCAGGTGAGGCATATGTTTACCTATATAATAGTTGTGTTTGTTCCCAGACCTATTTGTGCTAGTTGTGCTTACAACTTTAAATGTATAAATTATTACATAAATTAATGAAATCTAAGGGAGAAAAGGGAAAACCGTTGTTTCAATGAAAATTGAGTTGATAGAAATAAATCCCTCAAATTGCTACTGAATTACATGTGGACAATTAGTGTAAAAAATTGGGAGAGGGGTGAATTATTTTAATCTAAAAGTATTTTACACTCAGATTGCTTTACTAGTACCTTCAAAATCTTAACCCACCTTAAAGAAATAAAAATTAGAAATTAGAAGTAATGCATGATGACAAGGTTTATTTTTTTTTTAACTGGCATGTATCCAATCATTTGACTACTAGCTTTCCATCAAAAGACTGAGAATAAATGTGCATTCATTTCCACAGTGGTAAATAAATGTGTATTTTTAAGTTGAAATAAAAGTTAAAGGTAAGTATAGTTTTTTATGCATAAGTGTTTAACAGATTTTTTTTATTAATGACCAACTATTGATCCAGATTGCATCAGAATTTCTACTGTATGGAACAATTAGAACCCACTAGAAGTTAAAAGTTAAGTTAAATTATTTTCATAGATATTTTACATGGAACTATTTATAAGACTAACAAAATGGAATAATATATTTGTACAAACTTTTCTTGTATGCCTCTCTCATGTACATATTCATCTTTGAAGAGGAGTCAGAATAAGAGTCTAATTCTCTTGTCCTTCCCTATGTGAAGGAAAGTATGGGAAAAAGGTGAACTGATCCAACAAAGCATCATTGTTTGTGATCCTTGTGCCAGGACATTCTTGTGCATAAGGCAGCAGCATCAGTTGCTCAGAGAGGGGAGTAGCCCTGGTGCTCTGGGCTCTGAATCCTGGAGATTGGAGGCATCTGCATCACCTAAGGGACCAGGCTTTCCCTGGACAATTCTGCCTGAGGAATAACTGGTAACATGTAGGAATGTGTAGCGCAGTAAGGGGAGGGCTTGAAAAGTATACACCGTGATTCAAATCTACAACAAAATGTAGTTTCTTTGTTCTTTAAAACTGTCATCTTGCTTTGGAAATCCTATTCCCACTGATGGCACAAAAATAATTGCACTTGCCAATTAAAGGCAAGTGATTCTCTTAAGGTGGACATTTCTAATTGGGGTTAATTTTCACTTCCAAGATTTTTACTCCCTTTCTTTCTGTCCAAGCTGGCATCTGGATGTGAGGAGAAGCTAATGCAGCCTGTAGCATTGGATAAAGGCAGTTTCTTGCTCACCAGCCTTTGCTGAGATTCCCTAATTTTGCCTTGTTCCTGGGAGAGCTGTGGTGGGTTGCTGAGTTGCGGCTGGTCTTGTCTGAAGTGGTGCTGTGGTGCTGTGTTGGCATTTACAAGTCAATGATCATGGAGTTAGCCATTGCTTTTATGTCCAACAACCACTGTGACCCAGGCCTCCTTGGTCTGCTGGAGCTGCTAGTCCTGTGAGTGCCTCACTGGGAAGCTCCAGAGCCTTTGTTTGCTTTCTCCACACTTCACTGCAGGGTACAGGGTTTTATGAGAAGGCACAAGGCTCCTCCCTCAGGCCCTGCTATTCTGCTCATATGAGCCCTATTACTCCAACACCAAACTGAATCTGGAGCTTTGCTCTGGAATGTAGTCACCCTGACTGGTTTTGTGGATATAGACCACTAGCTCTAGTGCTCCCGAATCATCCCTCAACTTGTTTGATATCTGTCCTCATCTAACCCCAGAGACATTGACCCTGAGAGAGGAGCTAGAATACTTACATCTGACTACTTGCCCAACTCTCATCTTTCTTGGCTCTGCTCCACAGCAATTGGAGGAATCTTTCCTATTTCTATTGGATGGAGTCTTCCCTTACATCGTATCTTCATTCTTCTCAGTACTTGGCTTAAAATAAATATACTCAGGCCCTCATGTTTTGTTCTTCAGAGGGAAGTTTAGATTTATTTTTAAAACTCTGTTTCAACACCTGGATTTTAGTGCTGTTATTTCACAAAGGATCAAAAGAGTCTGCTTTTAGACTCAAACCTTAGCGATGGCATTTTTAATCTAGGGCAGTGGTTCTCAATCTGTGGGTCGCGACCCCTTTGGTGGTCGAATGACCCTTTCACAGGGGTCGCCTAAGACCATCCTGCATATCAGATATTTACATTACGATTCATAACAGTAGCAACATTATAGTTATGAAGTAGTAACGAAAATAATTTTATGGTTGGATCCAACATGAGGAACTCTATTTAAAGGGCCGGAAGGTTGAGAACCACTGATCTAGGGAATATCTATCTACTACTCCTGCCCTGGGACAGTAAAACTCTGGGTTTAGCATTATTTGCTAAAAGGCAAGAGTGGAAGGGGAAAACTGGATTTCTGTTATGGAAAACACTTTAACTAGTATTTCTTCAATTCTCTTTAGATGTTAAAAATTATCAGTCATTAGGGAAATGCAAGGAAAACATGCTGAGATACTACTACATACCTATCAGAGTGGCTATAATTAAAGGATTAATCCTATCATATGTTGGCAATAATGTGGGGGAACTTTTATTGTTTTTATTTTTTTTTAAATACATGTATTTTTTATTTCAGAGAGGAAGGGAGAGGGAGAGAGAGATAGAAACATCAATGATGACAGAGAATCATTGATCGGCTGCCTTCTGCACACCCCCACCTGGGGATAGAGGCTGAAACCCAGGCATGTGCCCTGACCAGGAATTGAACTATGACCTCCTGTTTTATAGGTCGATGGTCAACCACTGCACCACGTCAGCTGGGTGAACATTAACTTTTATATATTGCTGTTGGCAATAGAAAATGATATAGCTACTTTGGAAAGCAATTTAGCAGTTAAATACAGACCTACCATATAATCCAGCCTTTCTTATAGGCATTTACTCAGAGAGAGGGATGTATATGTCTATGCAAAGACTTATAGACAAATGTTTATAATAGTTTTATTTGTAATAGACAGATGAATGGATTACCAAAATTTGGTGTACACATAAAATGGAATACTCCTCAGCAATGAAAACAACTGAACTATTGAACACATCAGCATGGGTGATTCTCAAAATTATGATGTTGAATGAAAGAAGCCAAACAAAAGAGTATGTACTGTATGGTTCCATTTATATAAAATTCTAGAAAATGAAGATTAATATATAGTGGCAGAGGTTATTAATGGTTGTCTGGGGATGGTGGGTTCAGGTAAGTGGGCAGGAGAGTGGGATACAAAGGGGCACAAGGAAACATTCAGAGGTGATGAACATATTTACTATCTTGACCAGGCATTGGTTTCATGTACACACACATGTTTGATTCATCATTATAACAAAGCTTACCTCTTGACTCTGGTTTACTAAATCCCCCAAGCTGCCCACCTGCAAGAGTGAAGAGAAAGATCCCCTATTACTATTCTGATACTGAAAACAATTTTATTTATGCATTTTCTATTCTGTTGATAAGACTGAAAACAGCTAATTCCTTCTTATAACTTGCTATTAAACAGGCCAAATAACTCTAATTCTTCAGATTTTTCTTTAGCAGATTCAAACATAGGCTGTGTTCACTGTTCTCTAGGTTCTATTCTTCCAAGTAAGAGGTCTTTCAAAGATGAGGTCATTTACTAACATCAAATTTGAAAACCATACTTGTTAAACATTGAACAGATTTTAGCTAGTGTAGCTAATATATGAGCCACCTCATACGATTTAGTAAATTGCTAAATGATTATGTGGACCATACTTTGTAATTTTAATTTTTAAAATTAAATACAAAGTGCCACTTCAGGGAAGACCCAAATACTATATGTCTCTGAACAGACCAACATTACTATTATAAAACTATCAGCCTCCAAATAATGGATGTTAGGAAGCAGAGAAGAGGGTCTGATTTTAAGCTTGAAACTGGGCAATGTGCATGCAAGTACTTGATTGATTCAGTAGTCTTCAACTAGTATATTGGATGATTATTCTGGAACTTCTGATGCATAGATTGTGTGTTCTGCCTTCCCTCTTTATATACTGACCAAGACCCCCAAATATAATAAAAATAAAATAAATTTCTTTTTCTCTGATACTACAAGAATGCTAGACAAGTGTCATCTTGCTACCAAAAATGATTTTATAAGGAGTTAGGAGTGTATGCTTATTTCTAAATTGCAATTTTAAAACTGGGTTTTCAAATCAATAAAAACATATTAAGGCCTATTAGGTATAATCATACTGAATATTAGTAGGCCAACAAATATAAAAAACCATCTTTGCCATCAAAGAGTATGAAATGTAGCTAGAGGTAAGGAGAAAACACTTTAAATGAGAGAAATTAAAGACAGAATAAAAACATAAAATAACTATTCATTACATATGGAAGAGGCACCTCTCAGAAGGCAGTACATGGCGAAGTGAATAAGGAACATTCCAGACATTGGTAGCCATGGGAAATCAGGGGCTCATCATCATCTGAGCTAGTTGGGCAAGCTTTTCTTCAAAGAAATAAGACTGGAGTTTGGTCTTGCAGGGTTGTGTAACATGCACCAAATGTTTGGCGAGACCTAGGAAACGCACAATTGCTTTTAATAAATTGTTGGTCTGATGTTCTCTGTTCGGAGAGTCAATATGTTCAAAGAATGCACTTTGCCAGTAAAAAGTCAGTCCCTTTAGATGATGATGTTGACAGCTCTGCCAGGGGGTTGTGCTTCTCCCAGGCCAAACAGTGTGACTGAAGTCTGAAGGAGTCCGTCAGAAGTAGCCCGCTTGTCGGAACTGGGATATGTTTGCGGAACTGTGTTGAAGCACCTGTGCCTGCCCTTGTCTGGACGTGGTTATTAATCCTTCGTTTTCCCAGGTGGTGCACTGGTTCACAGATGTTACTGGAGGGAAAGAAAATGTTCAGTGTTTATGCAGCAAATCTGCTCTGAAGAAACCATTATGCTCAAGTGAGGAAATGCCATAGTTATT